ATATATATATATATATATATATATATATATATATATATATATATATATATATATATATATATATATATATATATATATATATATATATATATTTAAAAACACATGTACAAACTACTGTGGTCAATAATATAAGCCCCTTAATAAATGCTAAGCTCTGTGTCTGTTTGTTATAATGCGGCTGCTTAATGTGTTCACCTGGTCCTTGCTTGTTATTGACCTTATTCTTCACAAACACTCTCATTCCCTTTTGGTGATTTTTAGACGTTAAAACAGCTTGTTGTACTTCTTGATGTTGCAAACTGAAATTTTCTTGTTATAATATTCTACTACAAATGTGACCCTTATCTGCCGTTTATTATTCCTGGTCATTTCTTCCATAGGAAACCGAATCGGAAGTTCTAAAAAAAATCACAAAAACGAGCGCACTTCCATACTGCAGAATGAAGCCAATGTTTATTGTGCTCACCTGTTCCTTGTTTACTACCATGTAGATGCTTATTGTGTTTACCTGCTCCTTGTTTGTTACAATACGTCTGCTTATTGCTTACCTGTTCCTTGTATGTTATTATGCAACTGCTTATTGTGCTCACCTGTACCTAGTTTGCTATCATGCAGATGCCCATAGTTTACCTGTTCCTTGTTTGCTATCATGCAGCTGCTTATTGTTTACTTGTCCCTTGTTATAATACGACTGTTTATTGTGTTCACCTGTATCTTGCTTGCAATCACGCAGATGTTTATTGTGTTCACCTGTTCCTTGTTTATAATGCATCTGCTTATTGTGTTCACCTGTTCCTTGTATATTATAATGCGACTGTTTATTGTGTTCACCTGTTTCTTGTTTGTTATTGTGCGACTTTTTATTGTGTTCACCTATTTCTTGTTTGCTATCATGCAACTGCTTATTGTTTACTTGTCCCTTGTTAAATGCGACTGCTTATTGTGTTCACCTGTATCTTGCTTGCAATCATGCATCTGCTTATTGTGCTCACCTGTTCCTTGTTTTAAATAATGCGTCTGCTTATTGTGCTCACCTGCACCTTGTTTAAGTGTTCACTGTGATTTTCTTTTGCTCAAGATTTGGTTATTGTCTTAAGTCAGTGTGTGTTCTCCTGTTTCCGCCTGCGGATTAAACTCCATGTCAGACTGAATTCCTGTGTCATTATTGTGGCACACTAGCGCTAGCGTGACAGTCCTGAAATGAGCTTAAGTCTGTGATTGTTGTGACGGTGGTGTGGCTCTGCATGAGGTCAGGTGACGAGCGCTTGCTGGATCTCAATAGAGGATCAGGGTGGAGTCTGGAAAAGATCAGATTGCATCTATAGGGCAAAGAGACACACAAGAGCTGCTATTCAAATGCTGGATTACAGTTTCTCTCTCTCTGTGTGTGTGTATACAGGTATAGCTATACTTGTGAGGCCTTAGATGTAAAACTAACTTGAAATAACTTGAAACTCAAAGTAATGATTAATCCAAGATTAATGGAAATCAGACATTGATTTTGTATTGTGGTTCAACAGAAGCATAAAAAAGGGCAAA